AACTCGAGTTTCTATAAATAGACGTCACGTACTCATGTCGAAACCACTAGAACTTTCCCAAAGGACTAATCAAGAATGTTCTGGAAATCATAGGTTAAACGTGCCAAATAACATGTCTTCTGTCCAGAAATCAAAAACCACTAACCAAAACTGAATTTCTACCAGGCGGTGACTAATGGGCTACCATTAGTGTCCAGCCCTGATATTCTGCTACTAGCTGTAGACACCCGAGACAAAATAACATAGTCATAAAGTCATTCACCACGTACCTTAGAAATTCTTGTCTTCACGGTTTTCAGTTCATCATTCAAGCTTTCAACATTGTCCACAGCTTCCTTAGAGTACATTTCCATTCCTTCGGCTTCTGTAACATCCTGAAAATTGCAGGAAAAATTTAGGATTCATAGCTAAACACTTGCAAGTACAACAGTTTGCTAAATTGTCGGGACACCTCAATTGTGTTTCTGAGAAGAGTGCAACTTAATCTTAGGGAGCCTCACACTAGCCCAGGGTAATGGTTGAACTCCTTATCTGTACCAGCAAAAAATTAAATCAATTCAAAGAAGAGACTGAGAAACACAAACGAAAAGGGAGTACTCATCAGGAGACGAAGGAAGAAAGGAGGTTTTCTCCCAACAACATTTCTGGTGCTCCCAACAAAATTTAAACCACTCAAAAGGCTAAAATATTTTTAATCATTGACTATGCTTAATTAAATACAAGGCAGTTATACCTGCACAAATTCCAGAGGCTCTTTTATGGTGTTAAGGTGTTTCTGTACATAGGAAACACTGCTTCTGACAAATGCCAAGTGTCGTGACACATTGGCCAAAATAACGGTCACTTCTGGGGCACTACAAGATTATAAAAAAATTAACAATTTATGATTGGACAGGCCTCACTAAGGTGACATACTTAATCCTAAATGCCAGGGCCGAGTTGTTCAAAGCTGGGTTAAAATAAACCAGAGTTAGTGAGAAATCCAATTTCCCATCTGAAAGCTTTAGAAAAAAAATTCAGTTTAATTGTTTTTGTCTACAATTTGATGATTGGACATTCTAAAAAGAATAGGTAAAAATATCCCAAGAAAGCTATTGAACAGAGAAATAGAGAAACCTGGATTAAAATTTAACCCTGGGTTAGCCCTTATTTGCCTTTGAACAACTGGCCCCAGAATAGGAAAGTAGATTCCACCTTAAAACATGTTTTTCCATCAACTGCAAGCTGGACATATCCCACTCCTTTTTGTGAACTTCTCTTATGGAATCTAATATCTTTGTCCGCACACCCACTTGAGTTATTCCCATCTGTAAAGAGCAAAACAGTGGTTCAAGTTTTTACAAATCCAACCAAACTGCAACTTGATCATGGATTGAAAAACAAAATGCAAAGTGGTCACAGCAGCCAATTAGATCAAAGGAAATATCATAAGGGACCCATACAAAAAAAAAAGTTAAAACATTAGCATAGGAAAAAGTAAAAAAAAAAAAAACAGTTTTTGTTTTGCTTTTGTAGTTTGTAGTGATGCCACTCATTGAGGCCATTCACAGAGAAAAGTGAAGCAAAATCAAAACAACCTCAGATTTTATTCCCCCTCATTTCAAAACCAATCTTAGTCTGTTAATTCAAGAGCCATAGTAGCCAACACCACACTCATAAACGAGATGCACAGGTTTGAGTTTTAAGTAGCACCTTTGTCTTGTACTTCAGTGAGACAGATTACTCTTACAGAGTTTCCGTCTACCCAGGACAGGTATTCCCCATCAGGGAAAGCAACAGAGAAATTTGCGTTAAAAACGAATGGAAAAAAATCATGCACATTTTTAAACTCATGTTCAATGCATTTGAATTATATTATACAAAGATAGAGTGCACTAGCATCACCTGGTCAAGCTCCTTTTCAGTCAGATTAAGAAATTCCTCAAAAGTCATCTTGTGTTCCTAAACAAAAGGAAATGAATTTAAACAGGACTGTAAGCCTGCTAACTGAACTGATGACAAATGAGAGGCAATGGAAGTATATATATCTTATTAACCAAGCGCGAGGGCCGTACTTGGAGAATATTGGCCCGAGGTCTTGACAGTATGGACCGGGTGCAGCGAGGTCTTGACAGTATGGACCGAGTGCAGCGAGGTCCATACAAAAAAGACCGAGGGCTGATATTCTTCCAGTATGGTTCCGAGCAAGCTTGGTTAATAAGAGATTGATTATACGACTGAAGTTCAAAGGGACACAAGTGCGGTATCATTCGGGACCATTCGGGTCAGTGCCCAGTCCAATACTGAGAGAATAGTGACCGGCAATAGAGCATTTTGATTGGTTGATTTTAGTTATTGACCCTCTGACTGCCCGGGTCGTGTAATAAGAATGAGGTATCCCATTGACAAGTGTACATGTACTATGAGTAGATGGACTCACTGACTAAAACTACTGAAAATAGCCTCACTGACTGATGGACTGACAAACTCAAGGACAAACGGACTGAAAGACAGACTGACTGACAGTTGGACTTGAGGGCGGATGCAAGGATAGACCTTTCAACTGACTGACTAAGAGACTGATTGACAGATGAACTGATAGACAGACGAATGGATTGAAGGACCAACAGACTGACTGATTGACTGACCAACTGACTGACCAACTGACCGACTGACTGGCTGGCTGACTGACTGACCAACTGACTGACCAACCGACCGACTGGCTGGCTGACTGACTGACCAACTGACAGACCAACCGACCGACTGACTGGCTGGCTGACTGACTGACCAACTGACCGACTGACTGGCTGGCTGACTGACTGACCAACTGACTGACCAACCGACCGACTGACTGGCTGGCTGACTGACTGACCAACTGACNACTGAATGTCTGACTGACTGAATGTCTGACTGACTGAATGTCTGACTGACTGAATGTCTGACTGACTGAATGTCTGACTGACTGAATGTCTGACTGACTGAATGTCTGACTGACTGAATGTCTGACTGACTGAATGTCTGACTGACTGAATGTCTGACTGACTGTATGTCTGACTGACTGACTGACTGACTGTCTAACTGACTGTATGTCTGACTGACTGAATGTCTGACTGACTGACTGACTGACTGTCTAACTGACTGTATGTCTGACTGACTGAATGTCTGACTGACTGACTGACTGACTGACTGACTGACTGGCTGGCTGGCTGGTTGGCTGGCTGACTGAGTGTGACGTATAGACTCTAGCAGACAAGCAGACAGGTAGACTAGCAGAATTTCAGTCTGTAACTCCAAAATTTTTTAATCCCTGGGTCCATCAAATAGTCAAAACAACTTCTTGAACTTTGAAATGATAATATGCAACACATGCAACTGACCAATAATCAAGACTCACTGACAGACAGAAAGTACAATTTACCTGAAATACTGGCAATAAATGTCTCAACTCCAGGCCACACAAAAACGTGTCAAGGTCATCATACCTCACTGGACTGCAATCAAATGAAACAAGATCACAACAATGATATTTTATTACTTCAAAGACAATCTTTAGACCATGCTTCTTGCTATATAGCATATACCAAATATGGAAACTAGCAAGGCAAATACTTTAAAAAATCTAACAGCTTTTCATAATTATCATACTTAGATTTCAAATATTTAAGAAAATATTTTTAAGTAATTTAATTCTACCCATCATAATTAAAAATAAAGGAGGTTTGTAATCACAATTGAAATTCAATTACCGTATTTATTCATCAAAAAGCCGAGCAATTTTTTCACAAAACTTTACCAAAATCTCGAAAATTTGAGCTAGAGAAGGGTTCTCGGCTTACAGCCGAGTGTTTTTCCAAACATAATTTCTTTGAAACAGCAAATTCAAAGGAAACATAGATATATTTATCTATAAGCTGAGATATTGCATGCAGAAGTAAATAACAACACAAGTTGAAGTTGGTCAGACTATTTTTGTGGTTGCTTCCAAAGGAGCGGTTTCTTGTTTTCGGCGCGTTGTAAATGCGGCTTATTGTTTCGTCCTCAGTGTCGGCGGGGAATTCGTCGTCCATCTCCTCCTCATCCGTTAGTTCAGCTGTTTATTCCAAGTAGATTGCTTCATCTTCCATGTCCTCTAGAGTATTGGAGATTCTGAGGTTTTGAACGAGTGTATTGATCTTGCGAAAGTGTTTGAAAAATTTCGAAACTGACCAATCAGAATTGCTCATTCCCATGACTGGCAAACAAACTTGTCACATGTTACAGTGTTGAAATTTGCGATCACGCAAAAAAGAAAACTTATTTTGACTTCTCTGCTCTGTAAACCAGTCAAGTAATCTCTCATCCAGCCGCAGATATTTCGGAGTGTAACGGCCCATCATTGTGCGTTTCACTGACATCTCCAGCTCTCCATTAAAGAGGTTCTCTTCGACTTTCCTCTAGCGACTTACTGATGACTTACTCTCTGGTTATCTCAGAATTGTTTTAGACGGCAATAATGCATTGAAACTCTTTTCTATTTAGAAACTTTTGCGTTCATTTCAGTTTGTTCGAGAATGGAATTCTCTGAATATGGTCTTGGCTTATAGCTGAGTATTTTCAATTTACATGTTTTAAAAACCTTCCCGATTGAAACAGACGGAAGTTTAATAGGTTCTCGGCTTATAGATGAATAAATATGGTACAACAATTAGGGGAAAAGTCAAATAAAGTGATAACTACTGAAACATTTGACATTTACCTGAAACTATCCTCATTCACATGAACTCTGCAAAACAATTGAAAAATTCAGTAAAGAGGCTTAAGAGCTAGTTATTATGAGACATTAATCTTATCTAGAATTTGCCCTTTTGTTCAATAACCAGTTATCATTAAAATTTGTTATCACTTCATTGCCACACTACTTGAAAAGGTACTGGTAATGTAAGGATGATTTCACTTTTGTTCACCCCTCAGGGTGAGAGGAAAGATTTAACTCAGTCTGTTAAAGAGTTTCCAGGATTTATGTGCGCTTAATGTAACACAGTAAAAAAAAAATAAATTAAATTCACTTTCTATGCACAGAATCTTAAACAGCGTGTCCTTACTTTGAAGATGCCATAGGTTGTGGAACCACTTCACTGGGCAGCTGCTTTCCACTTGCAGCCAAAGAGAGCATATCTGCAATCTGATAAATGTCAAGAGACATTTTAGTGTGAGTTGAGCATCTGTCATCTACATTTAACGGTAACAGTTAGTTTTAAAAAAATGTAATCTTCTAACAATTTTGATGAAAAACTCTGGTTACTAACCCAATGATGCTCACTGGAGTACGCAATATCACTTGGCGCCTGGCCATCATTAGAGTATATCTTAGGGTCTGCTCCATGGTCCAACAAAATGCGCACAACTCTGCCATGACCTCGGTTGGCAGCCCATGACAAGGACTGAAAAACAGAGTAATTCACATTTAGCTTGGTTGTAAGTAGTTTAACTATCGCCTACACTATCATAGTGGTGGGTTCACTATGGTCCAGGCACTGGGCAAATTGAGTGACTGTGAAGATACATTTACCCAGCTACTTTCAAAATCTCCATCAAAAGCACAACAAAAATATTACTATCCCATATTTTCCTCAAATATATTTGGACTTATAAAATGTACAGATTCAATATGTAACAAATTATTTGCATTAGAAAACTAATCATGATCATGATTCATTTACCTAAAGAAATAACCTAATGAGTTTCTTGTATTTATCAGATTATTAGATATATATATATGTATTTTATTATTTAATTTTTATTTATTTATTTATTTATTTATTTACGTTTTCAAAGTTTAGGAAGATTCTATTCCGACACGCAGCCTGGGCCATGTTTATTGCCCCAGTCCCAGTCTGTGTATGATCTTATGGCAAACATAAGTTTTTACAACTATCGGATAATAATAATAATAACGGTTTATTCACAGTATATCCACATACAAGGTGTGGCTCTTCATCTGTGAAGGCCTATGGTACTAAAATTTAATATTAAACTAAATTATAATAACTACCAGTAACTAAATTGTAATAAAACTATTTATTACACGACTCAGGTAGTCAGAGGGCCAATAACTAAAATCAACCAATCAATATGTTTAATTGCCGGTCAATATTCTCTAAGTATTGGACCGGGCACTGTCCTGAATGGTCCCGAATGATATTGCTTTTGTGTCCCTTTGAACTTCAGTCGTATAATAAATCTCTTATTAACCAAGCTTGCTCGGGATCGTACTGGAAGAATATCGGCCCTTGGTCTTTTTTGTACGGACCTCGCTGCGCTCGGTCCGTACTGTCAAGACCTCGGGCCGATATTCTCCCAGTACGGCCCTCGTGCTTGGTTAATAAGATAATATATGAAAGTAAATATGTAGAATATATTGGTTGGTGGTGGTGGGGGTTGTTTCTATTGGTGGCGGTGGTTGTTTCTGTTTTGAATCTCTGTGGCTGCAGAATTTCAAAATTTTCACGCACTAACAACAACAACAACAACAACAATTTATTTCATGTCGGTAATGTAGGGAGTGGTTACCCAATCCCCCAAGCCTAATGGCTCCTATTAAAAACACTCGACAAATAAAATAAAGATGTGTATATAAATATATGTCAAAGTTAAATATATAATAAAAATGCAAAAATACTGTAAAGTGGTTAATTATTGGCAGTGTTTAACTTTCGCCATTTTCATGTAGGGGGACTTTGCGCGAAATTTAAACACCCCAAAGTCGGAGTTGGCCAGCCGCCATCTTGAATTTATAAGTGTGACACCCAAATCCAATAAATGCAGAATTATTTACTACAAAAGAACATTTATTGCACAAATCAAACCTTAAAAATATTATTTACATTCAAAGATGATACTGCATATTATTAAACGAATTTTGTAGCACTGTAATAAATGTAAATACCATTACAAATACAATAAATAACTATCACAGGTCCACATTTTAAAATAATAATAAAGATGTCAAGCAGATGGAGAAAAAGCACTGTATAAAAATATGAGAGTTCAAAACATTGAATGTTCGTAAATAGAAATGTAAAAATTAAATGTTGGTAGTCATGTGGTTTATTGACACTTTTTTATTAACACCTTTGGTTTATGGCAGTCGATCAACAAAGCATGATCATGATGTCTTTCAAAGAGTTCTTACTTAATTAAAACAGTCCAAAATACCGGCATCACAGAAGCCATCCATTTTCCATTTCTATGCAAAAATTAGAACAATGAAACAGAGGAAACTGTGAAATAAAAACACCACTAAAAATGCTGAACTGAACTTTGAATGCGCGAAATTAAACCACCGATAAATTTAATCATACTACAGTATCACCTAGTTCCCTATCCCTAACCCCAATCCGGAACCTCCCCTGAAACCCTACCAGCTCTAATCACCTAACATTATAGCCCTAACCCCAAGCCTAATTACCACCAGATCACCTAGTAATGGGGAAGAGGAGGGAGGAGGGGAAGAAGGAGAAGAAAAACTTTATTTAATGAGGGTAAAACACATTTATTACTGGTCACCCAGTAGTTTTCATAATGGCCCTCCTAAAGGGGGGAAGGCAGACAAGGCTCTTGGAACCTTGGGTAAAGTACACTTTATGCCCATGTGTCAAATCCAGATATCTCCTGCTGCAAATCCTAATGAAACCCCTGCCATGCAATCTGGAAAAGCTATCACTCTCTGTCCTCAACTTGGCAAAATGTTCATGTACATAAATACAGCAGATATGCTCCATAACCACATAACTTCATCTCATCAGTTGTTTGTCATTCATCATATGAAGGAGAGATGATGAACAACTCATCATAACATACAAGAATGAGAGCTGCCCAACAAAAAGGAAGCTGCACAGGTGGAAAGACAAAAATTCCACCAACTTCATGGTTCAGAAATTTTACTTTTGGTAAGTAGAGTGTAGCACATTTTCAATTAACTTTTTAACTTGCAGAGATAGAAATTATGTGGTTTCTGGAGCTAACTAAATCCTCTTTAACAGCAACTGACCGTCCAGCCTCGCATATCCTGTTTGTTTATCTCTGCACCATGTTCTAGTAGGATTTCACAGACTGTAACTCTTCCTTCCCTTGCTGCATACATCAGGGGTGACATTCGAAATCTGGTTTCATGAAATAGAAATTAAAATATTTTTTTTGTTCACCTTCCTACATTAAACAGCTTCTTTTTTTTTTTTCATTGTATTAGGGGAAGATATTGGAGTTTGATTAGCCCTCTTACTTGTCATAAACATTGACTCTGGCTTTCTTTTCCAGCAACAGTTCCACACATGCGAGGACGTGCTCCTCTGGCTTGTTCCCAGGAACAGCGCATACTGCCATCAGAACAGTGTACATCTCTGAATACAGGTGTATAAGGAAGATGTTAGTAACCCTGTACACTTTAACATCAGTATGCATATTCTCCATACTGTTCCCTATATATATCCTGAGGTGTGCTGATAAGGAGAATCTATTGCAAATCAAAAATAAGTGTATCACACTTTGGCCAATACATAGGTTGGACAACTGAAAGATTCCATCATCTAAACTAAGAAAATTTCATCAACGCAGCAATTATTACCTTTCTGGAAGTTTACATTGGCTCCTTTATTAGCAAGAAGTTCCACCATATTCGGCAATGCTAAACTAGCAGCTAGCATCAATGGAGTCCACCCTGATTTAAGCTGAACATCTACATCAATTCCTATTTTGAGAAAAACACAATGCAAGCATTTTACTTCAAACAAGAGTTGTAGAATCGTATCAAGGGTGGATCTGATGTCCTAAACAACTAATTATCACAGAAGTAAGCAATAACTGCATCTCACCGTCATCCAAATATTTTTCAACTGCAGTACTATTTGCTCTCACAACTGCTACTCGCAAATCCTCCACAGCTAACATGGCAGCAGCTTTCTTAGCCTCTGCTTCTTTTGAATTGTTTGACGAGAAATTGCTCCTAAAAAAGTAAAGGCTTCCAATTTAGAAAAAGAGGCTATGGCAATAACCTTCCAAGAATGTTGGCTAAATTTTATTGTCAAGTATCAGTGATTTCATTATTGGTCTTCCACTAACCTGTTTTCTTGCTATAAGTTAACCTTCCCTGGGGTTAGGGGATAATTGCAAGAAGACCACATACTCACTTCAAAAGAACACATGTTTTAGGAAAAAATCTCCCCCAAAAATACACATCAGAAAGATTGAGGGCTGCTGGACAGTTTTACCGCTTACGGTAATTTGTGAAACGAAACAAGGTTTGCAGACAATTTCTTTAGGCGCTCTGCTCCCAAAAATTGTCTTGCTAGATAAAGCAAAGAAAGGCTTACAGATGCGACAAGAAATTATTCCCTCTCTTCGAAAACTCTGTGTTCTCGCTAGATGCCTTGTTTCGCAAAATACCAATAATGGCCGGCTTATGGTACTTTGCGAAACGAAGTGAAACAAAACGAAATGAAACAAGGTTCACATACAATTTCTTTAGGCGCTCTGCTTCCGAAAATTGTCTTGCTAAATAAAGCAAAGACAGGCTTACAGCCGTCCAGAACTGAACATTGCTTTCTAATTGTAGGATGCCCAAGCAAACCAAAGGATGGCAGCTTGAACGCCATGTTGACTGAAAAACTATGAGTTTTCTGCCAAATCTGATACATGTGACTTAGAACGGAAGTGTCGCGCATTCTCTCGCGTGAGAATGAATAGTAAATAATTGTACACCAGGACAAGAGAGAACAAGAGTCGCAAAAGATAAATTGTTGATAACCTATCGACTGGACTAAGCCTCTGGCAAAAACTAAAAAATTTTTGTAGGTTTTAATAACAATATATAAATACATATGTACTGGTAGACATTCTAGAGCAATGTCAAAAGGCAGATTTTTTGTTTTCCTCTTTGATACAAATTAGCCACCTATTTCCCTAACAAGATCTGTATCAAGATAATTTTCAGAAGCAGAACACCTGTAAATATATTCTATTAGTCAGCAAATCTTGTTTCATCAATTACCAATCGGCCACTATTGGCATTTTGCAAAACAGAGCCTCTAGTCAGAACATTATTTGAAGACAGGGAATAATTTCTTGTCGCATCTGTAAGCCAGTATTTGCTTTATCTAACAAGATAATTTTCAGGAGCAGAGTGCCTAAAGAAATTGTCTGTGAACCTTGTTTTGTTTTAATTCACCTCGCTTCGCAAAATACCATAAGCCGGTTGTTATTGGTATTTTGTGAAACAAGGCATCTAGCGAGAACACTGAGTTTTCAAAGAGAGGGAATAATTTCTTGTTGCATCTGCGAGCCTGTCTTTGCTTTATCCAGCAAGACAATTTTCGGGAGCAGAGTGCCTAAAGAAATTGTCTGCAAACCTTGTTTCATTTCATTTCACAAAATACCATAAGCCGGCCATTATTGGTATTTTGCAACACAAGGCATCTAGCCAGAACACCGAGTTTTCGAAGAGAGGGAATAATTTCTTGCCTGTGAACCTTGTTTCGTTTCACTTCATTTTGCAAATTACCATAAGCCCAGTTTTACGTCAAAGTAAATAATTTTCATTGATCAGAAAAAATACAGCAACAACAATAACACATACCACCCCAAAATATATATATAAAAAAATTGGCAAATTAGCTAATTCTATGGTGGGTTTTGGTAAAAGCTCATGCTAATTTCCAGGTAATCTCTGATACTCCATATTAATTCTCCAAACCATCCTTTTTACCTTTCCAAGAGGTAGTGACTTGGAGAGCTCACTTAAAAATCAAGAGTTACTTCAGTTGGTGATCATTTCCTTCATTCTTGTGACCTTAATGCGTGATTCAGGGGTGATATTGTAAGGAGAAATTAGATGCTGGTCACTCAGAGGTTTAAAAGGACTATTACCCAACAAACATACAAAGGGTGAAGGAACTCTTAGAAATATTTATAAGTGTATAAACCTTCTTGATGATTTTCCCTTGCTGTCAAACGACAAAGATGGCCTTGAAAATCCTCCTCGTCCTCTCCCTCTCTGTGGCAGCTGTCCTCGTCCTCTACCTGTTCCGGATGTGACTGACACTGGGTTTAAACTAAGCTTATTATGCCTGTCATTATTTGTAATAGATGTCTTATCAATTTTTTTCGGCGTTGCTTTCATCGACCTGGCCGGAGCAGTACCAAAATCAAACTCGTCACTATCTCCATCGTCAAATTCTGCACCAGCAGGCATCATAGAGAAGTCGTTTTGTGTATGATCTGTCTTCTTTATGTCACCATTTGTAACGCCGAAATCACTGTTCGTGTTGTAAACAGTGCCCATGTAAAAGCCGTCATCGTCCGAGTCGGAATCCTCCGCTCCTGCGGGCTGATACATCTCTACTCACCTTATCTTTCGTAAGATGCAAAGGAAACTGGCTTTAAAAAACTAACGAAACTGGCTTAGTTCATAAAAAGGCTACCGACCATATTCATACAGATTTTTTTGCTTTTCACAAGTTTTGCACACGTGCTTCATGCGGTTCACCGCTGACTACTTGCTGGCGGTTCCCAACATGGCGACGGTGCTCAAAGGTGTCGCTTGCCTCGTCGCTGGGGGAGCCAATGGCTTAGGTCGTGCGACAGCGCAGAAATTGGTTCAACAGGGCTGTAGAGTTGTCATAGCAGATCTACCATTGAGTGAAGGAGACAAAGTCGCCAGTGATCTTGGAGAAAAATGTATATTTGTTCCTACTGATGTAAGAATTAATTCCGCTATGGTAGGGCCAAAAATGGGGCAAGGTAGGGGATACGGGATAGGGGTCATACGGGATAGGTTGGGAAGAGCGAGGGGTAAGCTAGGCGATTACGCGGAGGTTGTACCTCGTGGGTCAGCTTTGGCGGGCTGAGAGGAGCTGGTAACTAAGTTTATTCTTAAATCTGATGACGATGTAATGTTGAGGTAGATAACGGAGTCTGTACTGATAAATAAGGTTGAAGAGGCAAGTTAATCAATTCAAACAGCGAATGGAATTATGTCAACTTTTTTATCCGTATTATTAATGAATGGAATAGTCTTCCTAATAATATAAAGGATTCTGTCAGTATTTCTAGCTTTAAACATAAAGTCACTTCAGTTTTTGGAAATACTTAGAATTTCAGATTCAATTCAATTTAACATTTTTATATCAAATTTTATACTCTGATAATTGTTTCTTAATATTATAGACATATTTTGTCAGCTTACTGGGGAGCATCCCTTGTATGATGTCTAGGATGCTTTTGGATGCTGCCTCTCCATCATCATTATTATTATTATTCATTATTATATGGCTGTGTCTCACAAGGACTGGGAACTACCAAATTCACGAATTTGATTGGCTGAAATCAATATTGAAAGTGGTCTAGATTTTCCCTTCTAGACCGGCATCTAGACCGGTCTAGAAAAAAAGGTACAAAAAATATAAAGAGTTAGCATATAAGACACAGCCATATGATAAACATCTTATTAACCGAGCTAGGTCAGTCTGTATGGGAGAATCTTGACCTTGGTTGCTGGTACAGACCTCACTGCATTTAGTCTGTACTGGCGACCTCCGTCAAGATTCTCCCATTCACACCTCCCGCTTGGTTGATAAGAACTAATTATTTATTTATTATTTACTATTTATTTATTTATTTAGTAATTTTGATTTGGAGAAACTGTAATAAATAAATAAATAAATTGGGGCAAGCAAGATTTTAATGTGTTTAACTCTATGAAGTTCCAAGAGGTAAAAACTTAACGAAAAAGTTCAAACAGCAGAAAGGCTTTTCCCGGAAAAAATATCAACATACAGCGCTGTAGGAAGGAAGTTGGGTCGAGGCTGGCAGGACACATCTAGCCCCACCAATCTGTGTTGTAATAATTTGTTATTATCCCAATCTCTTCTCACCCAGCCATCTTGCTTTATATTTTAACAACACTAAATTGCTTTCTGTCCAAGAATTATCTCACAGAATTTCTTACTTCCTGTTACTGACTAAAACCAGGTACCCTATCTGTCTTTTCTTCTTACAATATTTATTTGTAAAGAATCTGAGTCCCTAAACTGCCAAAGTATTAATCTATGATACCTGGATTATCATCATTATGAAAGGCAGGTACATTTGAGATACAAATCAAGAGAAAGTGGATCTGATAAGTCTAATGGTTTTTTTTTTTTTCGTCTTCAGGTGTCATCAGAAATTGATGTGAAGCAAGCCATTGAAACAGTTGTAGACAGGTTTGGTCCACTGCGTGTTGCAGTGAATACTGCTGGTATTGTAAAAATTGCAAAGACGTTGTCAGATGGGGGTGAGGTCCATCCTCTTCATACATTTGAAGAAATATTGAAGGTAATACCCCAGTTATATGATAATGCAACTACTTTGTATTCAATCCAAAAAAACAACTGGTTGTATTAACTTTTTTTAATGTTAACCATGTAAGAATACTGTACCTGCAACAATTTAGGTTAGTTGAGACACAGTTGATGGTACGAAGATTAGTGAGCTTGATTTTAGGGGAGGGGGGTGAGCAGTTTGAAACCTGAGGCCAACAAACCTGGTGAAATTCAAATGCTTGCTGAAATCAGTCCTTTGATTGGGTACTGACAAACCAGTGATACTAGTTATCTCACATTAGATTGTTAGGAATGCCTACCCTTTAGAGCAACAAGTACCCACTTAACCAATAATTTGGAATTTTATTGGGCTTGACTCTGGATAATCTTTTGGTTCTACATTTTTTTAAGGGAAGGGGTGGGTGATAGATTCCTCTCTCCACAAACAGGTACCAAAGGTCAAGAGTTGTCAGGAAACTCTATCAATTATCATTGAGGGTTGTCTGCAATGGACTAGAGCCGACTAACCCCTGAGAGGACCAGGAATTCACCTGACTCATGCTACAGAAACCTGGAGAAATTCTGTGTGATGTCAAGAATGGGTTCATGAGTACATTTTTGATGGTTGTGTGCTTCCTAGATCTTAAAATATAAACCCACTTCTAATCGAGTTAACACCCAAAATGACTCCTGATCCAAGAAAAACGCCAACTCATATTACCCCTTTTGAAAGATTTTGTGGCTTCTAGCCTTTCTCCATTCTAGAAAACTTCTCAGAAATGTGTGCCCACATCTAGTTCAAGAAATACTCCTGATGTTAGAATTCATGGAATTACAAGCTCAAGTTAAAGACTTTTGAAATCACGAACCTGTGGCAAGTAGAATACCCCCTTCCCCGTAACTTGTAAGATTTGAATTAATTCTCTCAAGCACAAAATTTTTACACTTTTTATATCTCTTTTGCTTCTTTCCACGGACCCCCTGATCCAATTTTGTTCAAAAACTGAACTGTTTGTGAACATGATTGGTCTGCAAGATAGAAGGGGAAAGAAGGGGTAGGGGGCTATTTCGGACAAGAAAATTGTCCTCAATGAACGTCACAAGATGCTGCATGAAACACAGTACCGATATAGCTGATTTGCACAAACTTTCCACTTACTCTTTTTCGATGATCAAAAGCTCATGAAACTTTTTTAATCACCCACTAATTTTCAGGAATGTTTTTGTAGATCAACTTGACCGGAACATTCAATGTGACTCGACTCGCAGCGGAACAGATGGCTACAAATGAACCTGATGAGGGTGGGGAGAGAGGAGTGATTATAAACACCTCCAGTATTCATGCGTATGATGGACAGTCTGGAAAAGTGGCTTATTCGGCAACAAAAGGAGCTATTAATTCTATGACACTTCCTATGGCAAGAGATCTGGGACAGCATGGCATAAGAGTGAATGCAATTGCACCAGGTAAATGAGTCGAATCCTGTGTAAGTCTAAATTTTTGGGGCTTATTTCTCTGCAATTCCTTTAATTACAGCTTCCTTCCAATGTTATTGTTAACTTACGACAAATTGAATGAACCCTCTCTTTTTCCAAAACCAGGAATGTTCTTAACTCCAATGTTAACCAAATCAAGACCAGAACCATCAGAACAACAGAAGATGGCTCAGATTGTTCCATTTCCCAAGCGCATTGGAGACCCAACGGAGTTTGCGCAACTTGTACAAACAATCATTGAAAATAAAATGATGAATGGTGAAGTTATTCGGATTGATGGCGGTGTGCGAATGCCATGATTACGAACTCAGCTAACCTGAAATGTTCGGGGACCACCTTCTGTTTAAGAAGAGGAAAGTTTGTAAGAAATGACGGCATTAGATGTCATTTACCTTTTGGACAACAACAACAACAACAAGCCTTTATTTCATCTCGAATTTAAAACAGCAAAAATAAACATTTTGATTCAAGTTAGTCAAGAAGATCCAGATCAGAGGTTTGTTTTCAATATGATTACTAGTGAATGCAACGAGAACTTTTAGTTTTAATCATAGGCTTGACATCACGGGTGTAAAGTGCAAAGCGATTTCTTGGAAATTTTTCCTCTTTCGAGACAAGTTTCTACAAATGATAAGCTTCAAAAGCGACCCCCAAAAAACTTTGTTACACATAGGAATTTCTAAATGGTAGTTATAGTTTTAATTTGGAGCATTGTTTTAGCCTATCAGTAACAGTATGACCAAACAAGACATGGTAAATAAGACAAACAACAGAATATTCTCAAATGTATTCTTAAAAATTACAACAATATGCTTTTTAAGCTAAAATTAAATAAGACAAGTTACCGTGCATCAACTGTGGCGAGCCAGATAGATCTGCCTGCACTTCCAACATCAATTAAAGCATTTGTTAGGTTCGTTTACATTTCTTTTACAATTGTTTTGTACCATTATTAAAATCAAAAATGTTCTTCGAAAGAATGTATAAACAATCTACTGACCAGCAAAGGTTGACACGAAGGAAAGGTTAATCTTGGGCTTGTGAGCGCTGAAACGGTATAAAAAAGGCTCACAAATTCACTTATCTTCTTTAATGAGCACACCATAGGGAAGCACACCATAGGGACGGCTTTCTGAGTCACCAAGTATTCCGCATCAACACGTGTTTTTTTCAGGCGGAAAGATTTTGACGCGGCCAGGATTGACACGATTCTGAAAAGCAATATTATAAGACTTTCCCTTGTGGGTAAATGGTTGTGTGTAACCCTTCTCAACCATTTTAAGACTGGGACTGCTGTAATTACCTTTACCAAACAAGTCTCCGGGGCCAGGTTTATAGCCCTCTTTGATAATCTTGTCAGCATTCTCAATATTCATGCCGTGATAAGAAACCGCCCACTCGTTTGGGGCTCCTTCGATGCGTATGCCGTCTGGACCGAGCCAACTATCGCCTTCACCGTACTTGCTAAGAGCTTTAACCGCTATTCTATTCCATCCGTACGGTGGGTGATATTGATGCCCTCCTATTATGTCTTTCTCACCGTCAACTTTGAAATCACTGAAATCAAAATTGTAAGGGGGATCAAGTCCGCTGGGGTTGATATCACCCGGTAAGCCACCACCACGTAAACGCAGCACTAAGAAGACGCTACTGCCATGACAAATTCCGAGGCTGCTTAAAGAGGCTTCACCTGTATCATCAAGTGTCTTGCCACCGTAAGTCAGACTCATCATCTTTGCGTCTATTCCTGTCTTTTCTTCAATAATAGCTTTCAACTCCCTGACTGTGTGCGTATTCAGTGCTCTAACGGTGAATATTTCGCCTTGTAACCCAAACACAAACACGTCTATCATACGACTTTTCAAACTAAACGAACCTCTACTTGCTCCTTGAGATGTAAATGGTTGCATCATGGTGTAAGTTGCTTCGAACAGTTCGTCTATGTTACTCGAAGGGAGCCCGCCTTCACCAAAGATGGCCGAAAATCCGGCATGTAGTAATTCCAAATTTGACATTGTCTGAAGGTTCTCTCTGAGATGAACACAGCCACTTCGTCTTCGGCGAATAGATGAGTTATTTCACGCTCTTATTGCTTGGCGGTTAATTCTTTGTTCTTTCTATTCTTGGAAACAGAGGATGTTTATCATCTACTTCGGCGAATTTATTGGCCGGAAGTCAAAGGCAGAATTTCATTTTCCTTGCGATGCCATTTTCTTCTTTTAAGTTTTCTTTCGCGAATTAAGTGAAAAACCGTCCTTAAGATGTTCCCATACTTACGCGATACAGAATTTATAACTCATTGCTTTCTTTTCTATTGTAAACTTTGGACGAGAAAATATTGTATCAGTCCCTTGTAGTCTGCAACACAAAGTTTTATTGACAGCTTATCTTAACTACACCTGCTTATCGTTGGCTCAATTTAAATGCTTAACAGTCTTGAATACTCAGTTTATTTGCATCCTATTCTGTTTACAAACCAGTATCAGCTCGACTTAACATGACTAGATAAACAATTAAGCATACTGGTGCTCAAGTTTATTCGGCTAGAACGTTACAGCAATATGCCTCTGAAGCTAACGTTGGATGACAAACATTTACGTCAATCAAGGTAAGCGATGGAGAGATCTGATCACTTTTTGGCCGCTGTTTTCAAAACTGGATTTTAACAATGTTTGAATAACCATGAAATCTGTATATAACAAGCATCTACCGATAAATTTCCCTCCTAGCGTAGGGTTGATTGTGAAATTGGCCTTGGGTAATGGTCTCGAAATATTGCTAAAAAAACTCACGCGTCCCTCGTATCAACATATCCTATAAAAATCTATCGAGCTACATCGAAATACCAGGCCACTTTGGTCCACCTTACTTATATGTTTCGGGAGGCTTTGAGGAACGAGGCATAACGCAACAGATGCTCTTCTTATTAAATGACACGCAAATGAGTGTCCGAGTATTTGATGCCTCAAAAAAGGCTGATGAAAGCAATGATCTCGCTCCAAAATTTGGTTGTCGAAACACCCTCTTGCCATCATGATATTTCCTTCCAGTAACTTGCAGCGTTTAACCCGACCCCTGGCGATTTCAGGAATATTTGCGAAAGTAACACATGGATCCGATTTCATCAAGTAAATCAGCTAATGATTTTTATTGCTCCCCCAGCTCATATTTTCTTGCCCCTAAACTCGAATTGTTTACGTTAAACGGTGCTTAGAATAAACTCTTAAAGAATTTTTATGATAAAAGTTCACGTGCAACGATGGAAAGAACTAAAGTAATCCGCGAGGTGTTTTACGGTCTCTCTATGTGACTTGCTACGAAAGCTAAACAGTCCCCAGAGGCGAGCCCAAATGATGGCCACTTTGGCTTCTAGTTTTATATGATTTCATACTATATTTTAAATACTAACAATTTTCTCCCAAGTGAAGGGTAAACAATCAACCCGCGAACAACAAAGTTGAAATTGAAAGAAAACTTTATCCATAAAGCATTCAAGCTACTAGCAAATACGATTCAGTAAACTTGCTTGAGAGTCACGAGATAAAAAAACATCTTATAAGCTTTGGAATGGTCTAAGTAAGCTTACAATTATCTTCTTTCAGTTCTCAGACTTCTTTAATTTTTTTAATAAGTACACCATAGGGACGAATATCATCTTTCTGTGTGAGCCAGTAGTCCGCTCCAACTTCTGTTTCTGAAGCAGGGATGATTTGGGTGCGCTTAGGATTTACACGATTCTGAAGGGCAATTTTGTACTCTTTACGGCCAAAAAAGAATGACTGTGCATACATCTTTTCAACCATTTCCAGACTAGGGCTGCTGTAGACGCCTGGACCAAACTTTGCTCTGGGACCAGGTTTAAAGCCTTCTTCGACTATCTTCCGGGCGTTGGAGACATTCGTGCCCTGATACGAAACCGCCCATTCGTTTGGGGATTCTTCGGTGCGTATGCCGTCTGGACCAAGCCATTCGTCGCCTCCTCCGTATTTCCCGCGAACTTTGATCGCTATCCTTTTCCAACCGTACGGTCGGTGATATTGATGCCCTCCTCTCGTGTATTTCGCACCGTCATCTTTGACATCACTGAAATCAAAATCATATGAGGGATCAAATCCGCTGGGATCAATATCACCCGGTAAGCCACCACCATGTAAACGCAGCACTATGAAGACGCTACTGCCATGAGAAATTCCGAGGCTGCTTAAAGAGGCTTCACCTGTATCATCAAGTGTCTTGCCACCGTAAGTCAGACTCATCATCTTTGCGTCTATTCCTGTCTTTTCTTCAATNATGGCGGTTAATTCTTTGTTCCTTTTATTCTAGGAAACAGTGGATGCTTATCATTCACTCGGCCAACTGATTGGTCGGCTTTTTGCGGAATTCAAATTAAGGCAGAATTTCACCATGGTGTAATTTACTTCGAACAGTTCGTGTATGTCATTCGAAGGGAGCCCACCTTCACCAAAGATTGCTGAGAATCCAGCATGAAGCAATTCCAAATTTGACATTGTCTAAAGGTTCTCTCTAAAATGAACACAGCCACGTCGTCTTCTACGAATAGATGGCTTATTTCATGCTTATATTGCATGACGGTTAATTCTTTGTTCCTTTTATTCTAGGAAACAGTGGATGCTTATCATTCACTCGGCCAACTGATTGGTCGGCTTTTTGCGGAATTCAAATTAAGGCAGAATTTCACCATGGTGTAATTTACTTCGAACAGTTCGTGTATGTCATTCGAAGGGAGCCCACCTTCACCAAAGATTGCTGAGAATCCAGCATGAAGCAATTCCAAATTTGACATTGTCTAAAGGTTCTCTCTAAAATGAACACAGCCACGTCGTCTTCTACGAATAGATGGCTTATTTCATGCTTATATTGCATGACGGTTAATTCTTTGTTCCTTTTATTCTAGGAAACAGTGGATGCTTATCATTCACTCGGCCAACTGATTGGTCGGCTTTTTGCGGAATTCAAATTAAGGCAGAATTTCACCATGGTGTAATTTACTTCGAACAGTTCGTGTATGTCATTCGAAGGGAGCCCACCTTCACCAAAGATTGCTGAACTTGAATCCAGCATGAAGCAATTCCAAATTTGACATTTTCTGAAGGTTCTCTCCAAGATGAACACAGCCGCTTCGTCTTCAACGAATAGATGATTTATTTCATGCTGATATTGCATGGCGGTTATTTCTTTGTTCCTTTTTCATTTTTATTCTTGGAAACAGAGGATGTTTATCATCCACTCCGGCGAATTGATTGGTTGGCTTTTGCGCGGAAGTCAAAAGCAGAATTTCATTTTCCGTGAAATGCCATTTTTTTCTTTTAAGTTTTCTTTAGCGAATTAAGTGTAAAACCGTCCTTAAGATGTTCCCATAGTTACGCGATACAGGATTTCGATGACTCGTTGCCTTGTTTTCTATAGTAAACTTTGAACGAGAAAATATTGTATTAATCACGTGTAGTCTGCAACACAGAGTTTTATGACAGCTTATCTTAACTTCACCTGCTTGTTATTAGGTCCATTTAAATTAATATGCTCAACAGTCTGGAATATACTATATATTTGCATTCATATTCAGCATCAGCTCGACTAAACATGACTAGATAAAATTAAGCATCTTGGTGTGTATTCTAGAACGTTGCAGCAACATTCCTCTGAAGCCAAAGTTAGATGACAAACATTTACGTCAACCATGGGAAGCCATGGAGAGTTTTCATTGCTTTTTGGCAATTCTTTTTCAGTAATAGATTTTAACAATGTTTGAATAACCATGAAATCTATAAAAAATAAATATCTACCAATAAATTTCCCTCCTTGCGTCAGGGTTGATTACGAAATTGACTTTGCGTAATGGTCTCGAAATATTGCTAAAAAACTTGTGTTTCCATCGTATCGGCATGTCCTGAAAATTTGTTGAAGTACTTCGGAATACCCGGCCACTTTGGTCCACCTTATTTACATGTATCGGGAGGCGATTGAAGAACTAAAGTAAACCGCGAGGGTTTTTACGGTCTCTCTATGTGACTTGCTACGAAAGCTTAACACCCCCATCATAGAGGCGAGCCCAAATGATGGCCACTGTGGCTTCAAGTTTAATATGATTTCATACTATATTTTGAATGCTAACAATGTTCTCCCAAGTGAAGAATAAACAATCAACCCGCGAACAGCAAAGTTGAAATTGAAAGAAAACTTTATCCATAAAACAATCAAGCTACCAGCAAATACGATTCAGTAAACTTGCCTGAGGGTCACGATCTAAAATACATCTTGTGAGCTCAGGAATGGTTTAAAAAAGCGTACAACTTTCTTCTTTAAATTCTTCTACTTCTTTAATTTCTTTAATAAGTACACCATAGGGACGAATATCGTCTTTCTGCGTGAGCCAGTAGTCCGCTCCAACTTCTGTTTGTGTAGCAGGGATGATTTGGACGCGCCTAGAATTGACACGATTCTGAAAGGCAATTTTGAAGTTTTTCCCCTCAAACTGGAATGGCCGTGAATACATCTTTTCAACCATTTCCAGACTAGGGCTGCTGTAGACGCCTGGACCAAACTTTGCTCTGGGACCAGGTTTAAGGTCTTCTTTGACTATCTTCCGGGCTTTCGAGACCTGCGTGCCGTGATACGAAACCGCCCA